TAGTTGTAGCTAGGTTTTTTCTGGGTTCATGGGGCTACACAGTGGGGACAACCCGCCCCATCTCCTTAAATCTCCCAACCCTCGTGGCAGGTAGGGGTGTGCAAAATTCTGAAATCAAACTGGTACTTTGGTTTTTCAGATTTCCCAAACCTAAATTGAACTAAATCAACCAAGTGATCAGTTTTTGTTTTTGATTAGTTCTATTATTTGTTTTTTTTTTTAATTTTTTATATATTTATAAATAAATATATAGAATATATGTAATATATTATATTATAAATAATACATAATATATTTACATATAATGCATATATACACTGACACATATATAGATATATAACTAGCAAGGACCCATGTGATGCACGGGAAAATCCAATAATTGTTCATTAATTATACAAACATTTTTCAAAATTCAGTAATTTTCCAAAATTGCACTAACAAATTTTTCAAAATTCCAATAATTAGTTTGTTTTAATATTTTCTGTACCAATAAAAAATATTAATATAAAATAATTGAAAATATTATACACTAAAATATTAAAATTATAATTTCAAATACAAAAAATAATATAAAAATAATGATTAATTTATTCAAATATCAATAAATTATTTCTTGAAAATGTGTAATTTTTATAAATATCAATAATTCAGTAATTTATCAGTAATTCTTCATTAATTATACAAAAAACTTTCAAAATTCTTTAATTTTTTGAAATTAAACTAATTTATAATAAATGAAAAATCTTAATATTTTTAGTAATATTAAAAAGTTTTAATATGAAATAATTGAAAAATATTAATTACTGAAAAAAATAAAATTACTAACAGGTATAATTTGAAACACAAAAAAAAATAAAAAATAATGAATAATTTATTGAAATATTAATAAAGTTTCAATATTTGTATTTTAAAATATTAAAATACAAAAATAGTATTAATAACTAATTACCGGAAGTATTAAAACAAATAACTACTGAAAAATGTTAGAATTACTGAATTACTGAAAATATTAATCACTGCAAATTTTAATTACTAAAAATATTAATCTATGAAATAACTAAAAATAGTAACTAAAACTTAAAAAATATTAAAATACAAAAATAATAAAAATAAATGACTAATGAAAGAATTAAATCAAATAAATACAAAATATAAAAAATAAATAAATAATATTAGAATTATTTAATTACTGAAAATTTAACTACAAATATTATTATTTACTGGAATAACTAAAAATCTTTAATTACTAAAAATATTAAAATTACTAATGTAATGATTATTTTCAAAATTTAATAGTAGTAATTGGTTATTAATAGCTATTAATTAAAAATTAATAACTAGCTATTAGATTATGAATTAATAAGTAATTATTATTTATTAAATAATGTAATTATGATTATTTATTAATTAATTTGAGAAATTAACATTAATAATTGGTTATTAATAGTTATTGGTTAAAAGGCAAAACTGGACCGGTTATTAATAGTTATATTGGTTTGGACTGGTTCTAAAAGATGAAACCGAACAATTTGTTATTAAAATGGTTTACTTACAAATAGTGTTGTACATGGGTTGGTTCGGTTTGGTTATACATAGTTTTGTCAACCAAACCAAATATATCGGGTTGACTACTAAATCAACCAAAACCGACCTAAAGAAATAAAAACCCGACTTGTAATAGAAACTATCGGTTGGTCGGTTTGTTCGGTTTCAACCAAACCAAGACCTCCTACCTCCTCTTATTGTTATTTATAGGACTTAAAGCCCACAACCCAAGAAATTTTATTCTTTTATATCACTCCATATACAAATCAGCTTAATTGAAAACACAATTGTAGGTAGGAAAAGGAAAAAGTAAAAAAATAATACATAATAGTCTTATTTTAGCATTTAAAACTTCAGACTTATTGTATTATACATGAGGGTTAGGCCTAAGATTCAGATTAGACTTCACAGTTCCACCCTCTTGCATGTTATCTCATAAAAAGATTTTTATCTTTTTTGGCTTTTTGTTTTTTTTTTTGAAAAGATTGAAGTAGGACACGAAAGCGTCATTCATATGGTCGATTCTGATTGGCTTACTTTGGTTTACAAAACTATAACCCACAACCAAACCAATCAATTGGGTTATGCGTATTTCTAAATCGAAACAAATCAAATTAAGTTAAAAACCGATCACATTGGGTCGAGTTGGGTCGGTCTGGTCGATTTAGTCAGTTTTTGACATTCTATGAACAACCCTACTTACTATTTGCTAATATTGTTAATTACTGAAAATAACTAAAAATAATTATTGAAAAGTATTAACTAGTAATATTATTAATTACTGAAATAACTAAAAATAGCAAATCCACATCAAACACTGGCGAAGGTTAAACACTCACTTCAACAAAGTCCCTTGATCCATCGAACAACACCCAATAGGACATAGCCTAATTTGCTTTAAGAGTGCCATCACAGAAAAATAGACCTGTAAATGGCTAATTGAGGAGCAACAGCAATTACGATCCTTGTTAACATGATCAACCGAGCCCATCAATCCATCATTAATGAAGATATTAAAGGAAATATAAATGTTTATTGATAAATCAAGCATGCGCTGGTTTAGGGGTAAGAGGGAAGTAAGCTAATTTTAAGAGGGAAGATATTGTGAGAGATATTTTAAGAATAATTTTAGGTAATCGGAATGGAAAAGGAGAGGAATGGGGAAAGAGAGAGAGAGTGTTGACTTGGTTAAAGGAGATAGAGAAACCTGATTGGTTAAACATGCACAATTATATGGATTTAAAAAATAAAAAGTTCAAAAGATCCAGGAAATTAGAATGAAGATTTTGGAGCAATTTTGAAGATGAGGGAAGTGACACATGGACTGATTCGCTATATATATATATATACCAGTCAGTTTGGTTAACATCTTGTATTTTAGGTTAATCTAAAACCAAATCAGTCTTTCAGTTTTTCGAAAAATATTGAACCAAAACCGAACTAATTGATACCGTTAACCAGTTATTTTTATTCAGTTTCATTTATTCATTTTGATTTTTTTTTAATTTTCCTTTTTTTAATTATAAACACCTTCGTGGTAGGGATTTTTTTTTTTTTTTTATATATTAGTGCCACACACCCTTTTCTCAAATTAGTAGTTACTCTTGAGAATTGATTCCAGATCAATACTTGGACCTACTAACTTACCAACGAGGCACCTCTCAATTGATTAGTGGTAGAGAGATTTGATCTCAACCAAATATGAATTTATTTTCTCAACACTATTGGCATTAACTGCCGACAAAACAGTTCATGATCAATACCCACATATCAAATAGCCTCTTAATAATCTGATATGCTTTTGAAAACTCCGACTAAAAATAAATGGAAGGGTCCATTAAGGTACCGATGCAATGCAAGGCCCATTCAGATCAGCTGTTTAGGCATGGAAATGCTCCGATCAATGTCTCCATCAAGTTTGTTTAAGACTCTTTGTTAGTGAAGGCAACAACCGGCATCCTTGTGAGGTAGAAATGATGTAGAGCATTGTGATTGGTTCCGTATTACGAATAGAACTGTAGTTATTCACTCATTGTTTCCCAATCTTTTTAAAAGGGGTGGACATTCACACGTGACCAAAATAAAATAATCTTATATTTTGATTTGCATTATCCTCGGAAAAGTCCTGTTATGCATAAAGTTTTGTACCTGTAAACCCACAATTTCTCACCTAGATTAGCCGTTAAAATTTTGCATAAAAAAACGATGCAAAATTTTCATCCCTTCATTGCATCTCCAAATAAATCAAATAAAGTTAAATATGAATGATAAGTTCATATATAGGGGTGTAAATGGATCAAATTCAAAAATGAATCAGGTAATATCCGAATTTGAATCCAATTTAAAAAAAAATTGATATTCGAATTCGCTTTAATATCCAACTGATATTGAAGAACAATGTTCAAATTCGAATTTGATTAAATATTCAAATATTCATTTCAATTTAAATTTGACTGATTAATTATTTTAGGTAATTAATAAATATAAAATAGATGTTTTATTTATATAAAGTATATAAGTATATATATTATTTATATAATTTAAATATTATATATAGAAATTATATAAAAAATTAAATGTTTTATATATTACATATAAAAATTAAATAATAAGTCAAATTCGGATATTTATTGAATCGAATCAAGTCATATATGAATTTGATTCATTTACTTAAATGGTATGAATAGAATATCCAGATTTGACCAGTTATGATATTTAAATTATCCCAATTTGATTCAATTATATTGAATTTCAAATTCGAAACCAGATTTTAGAATATCGTTGGCACCCCTGTAATTATATGATCATCATCCATGCCTTATTCCAACTATATGGGGCCCTTTACATGAATCTTGTTTCACTCATCTATTCAATTTAAAGTTATATCTAATGTTAAATTATTAGTGTTTAAATCATTTTTTCCCACTTCCACCCATGTCAATTTTTTCACACCAAGCCCCTTTTAATATATAATAAATCAATTATAATTGGTGCATTGTTACCAAAAATAAATCCAAGTGGTACATTCGGTGGTCTTCTATCCGTATGCCCAAACCATCTTAGAATAGGAAATGCATTTGAGGATTTATGCCCTCCAGCGTCGGCCAGACGACCTAATTAAAGGCTCGGTTTGAAAGCGTATAAATATATAAAAAATAATACAAAATACAAGGTTTTGTATTTTAGATATTTGTATTTGTAGTCCTTTCAAATTGCATTTAAGGTAAAAATTTTGATTGTCACGTGGCGAAACATTCTTACGAAGGCGATTGCATGAATTTGGTTTGGACTTTGGAACGTGGATGAGAAGAGACACGGTCAATCCGAGACGAATCTGCTCTTTATCGTCTGCACTGGGAATAACGGAAACGGTACATCAGTCCCCACCAATTCAATTAGAATAGCAAAGTACACATCAGCATTTGCTGTCCTATCCCACTCAAAATTGGTTTTAAAGCATCTCTTCGATCTCCCAAGGTCGTCTGTATCGCACTGCCGAACTGCTTTACCTTGAATCCGATTGACGATGGCGTTGCGGAGAAATATCTTGAAGCAAAGTCTTCAAACAAAGGAGAAGTTTCGCCATCTTCTGCTCTGTGATTTTTCTTCCATTTCTGCTCCAAAGCTCCCTCCATTTGATTACGAACCGAAGCCTTACAAAGGACCTTCAGCAGATGAAGTTCTTGAGAAACGGAAGAAGTTTCTTGGTCCATCTCTGTTTTACTACTATCAGAAGCCTGTGAGTTGTCTCTTACTTTCTCTCTGTGAATCTCTGGAAACAACGAAGTTGTTGGCGTTAGGATTTCCAGGCTGATTTGGGTTTGATATTTGATGTTTATGTGATTCGAATTTACCCATGAGTTGAAAATTCCAGTGTTTTTGGCGATGCCATTCTTCCCGAATCTGTGGAAGGAAATGTAATTTGTGGCAGTTTTGATCAGAAAGGTTTATGGGTTGCTTTTGGCTGTTGATAGTGTAGGTTCCTTTGGGCTATTGATAATATAGATTTGACGCAGAACTTATTGGATTGCTCTGGCTCTGCCATTCTATTAGAGAGGATGCTGGTTGTTTACAGTTTTGTTCATTAGATGTATCTGGTTGGAGTTTGTCTTTATCCCCATTTTATCCTTTAAAATGAAAAGGAAAACGAGAATTTGTTGGCTGATTAAATGGTGCATCCACATTCATTCTCTATTGTTCGGTGATGTAATATGAAATTTACTTTTTCACGATTTGATGAAGTCGTCCTGAGATTTTCTAATGAATTTTTCTGCTGAGGCTAAAGTTCTGATTCAGGACTGTCCTTACTGTCTTCAACGTTCTTTCATTTAGTTACATCTTGTATTAGTTGGGGATGTTATGGATCATTTCTAGTGATTTCAGGAACTGATTTTTTTTTTTTGAGCAGCTCAATATTGTCGAAGGGAAGATGCAGTATTTATTTGACGACACTGGTAGGCGTTATCTTGATGCATTTGCTGGAATAGTCACCGTGTCTTGTGGACATTGTCATCCAGATGTTCTGAATGCTGTTGTGGAGCAGAGCAAGCTTCTCCAGCATGCTACAACCATCTACTTGCACCATGCTATAGCTGATTTCGCAGAGGCATTAGCATCGAAAATGCCTGGAAACTTAAAGGTTTGCCTTTTGGTCTTTTACATGTTTTCTAACTTGCAGTTCAAAGTTGTGAAAAAATTTAAATAAAATATTGATAGAGCAACTTAAAGGAAAAAGCCTCTTTAACAGTGTGTGTATTTGAACAAGGATTCTCTTTTTTCCAATGAAAGCTAATTTCAAATAAAACTAGATCACGAGTGAGTGGCTAGAGACCCTACCACCATAGTATTGTTCTTGGGGTAATGATTTTATGTACTAGTCATACAATCTCCTTCATTTGATGATCCCTCCAGGCCTCCCTGCAGCCAGATGTTAGCCACATCGATGGGTTACATGGCCACTCCTTAGCAGAGATTGTGTGTCCATGTCCAGCTTGTCATCTGCTGGTCTCCTTCCTTCTGGATTGGCTCTGCATTACCCTTATTCCCTGTTGGTCTTGCTATCCACTGTATATTGGATATTTGGATCCTATACCTAGGAAATCAGAAATGCACATCATGAAGTATAAAATATAGGAATAAGTAAATCCCAAAACATGTTTTATTATGGCCATATGTTCTCCTTTGAGAAGCTGGGGAGGGGGAGATGTCTTGAGCTGAAACTTTCCACATGAGGAGAGGGTGGTATGGGACAACTAAGACCTTTTGGCTGACATCTAAACTGCCAGGCATGAGATACAGTAGTTATCAAAACTACACTGAAGTTTTAGGCATCCACTTGCTGCTACTGCATTTGTCTAAACTCCTACTCTAAATATGCCAAAAGAAATTGTGAACATGCTATATATGAAACTTACATTTTAAGAATGACTTGCATAGACTATTAGATACAAGGAATGCGTGTAAACAATGAGGAATTGTACATAGAGATGTATATACATTAAAATAAAGATTAATGTTTAAATTTAGGTAGACAAGAAGATGAAACTGCCTCTGGACTATCATCCATGGGTTTATGTACAGAATTAGAACATTCTTTGGGTTCCTGCTTGTCTGCTAATGGCAATTTTATAACTGACGTGGGGTTTGTGGCCCCTGGATGTAAATAATATGAACCTTGTTTAGTTTTAATGTAAAAAATGTATTTTGTTTCATATAAAAATTCTGTATGCAGATGTTAACAGTAATTCGTTTCAATATACTGATAATTTATCTTTAATAAAAGCAGGTTGTTTATTTTGTCAACTCTGGAACTGAAGCAAATGAGTTAGCAATGTTAATGGCTCGACTTTATAGTGGTAACCTTGGTATGATTGCCTTGAGAAATGCATACCACGGTGGAAGTTCTGGGACAATTGGACTGACGGCTCTAAACACCTGGAAGTACTCAATACCACAGGTTCCCCAGCTTATTCTGTAACTTTTGTTTTGTAATATCTTTCTGTTTAAAATGCACAAATTAATATTTTTCCATAGAGATAAAAAGGAATAAACTCTTGGCATAATATAGATAGTAATTACCTAGAGTTTCTTCGTAAGTTGGATTGTAAATATTTTCTTCATTCCACTCCTTTCATCTCTGATGAAAATAAGGTCATTGGCCAAATTGCAAATGTTCCTGAAACTTATAATTAGTTTATACTCAAGTGCACATACATCTGAGGTTATCCTTCTTTGTAACATTTCATTGACCATGTAAGAAGCCAGTGAGGGGAAGATGACAACCATGAAATTCTGGCAATTTTCAAGTTGGAACTCTAACAATCATGCACCATTAAATACTTATGTCCCAACCTTCTATGTTTACAACATCATTGTTCAATAAGCATGGCATCCAAACTTGATCGAGGAAGGGATACGTCAGTTATGCAAAGATAAATAGGCATATTAGAAATCTATCCTAAATATTCAACACTTTTCTTTTTTTAATCATCACTCCATTAATTTCCATTTAATGGTTGTGGATATCCATTAAAACCAACATTGATAAAAAAATCAATTAAAACCAATGAATCCCACTGGGTAGTTCCTGGTAAGTCCTCATAGAGCATATTGTCTATTCTCATTCATGGGGAAACAGATAGGTTTAGGGCATACAGTTTATCTACAAGACTTAAATGAATAACTAGTGGGAATCTTCAGTCCTCTTAAAATGTTGAACAGGGAAAGGGCATCTCCTTAGGTGTAGTTTGTGATGCATGCGAATATTATTTACATGTTGATAAATTTTGTGATTGTTGTATACTAGGTTCACTAATAATGAATTCACCTAGAGAAAGAAAACTGCTTCATGTATAGGCTTGTCAGGTATGTTGTATAAGACCTCCAAGGTTAAATAAATAAAAAATCACAAATTTCTATTACTACAGCTGAGCATCTTAGACTTTCAGTTAATTTTCCTTTTACAGTATAATGTGTTACAGGGCTACCCATACCCATGCATGACTGTTGACTTGTACAGTCAATTTTTTCCACTTGTTTTTAGAAAGGAAAATTATATAATTTTATTCAAACACTTTAAGTGGGCTTAACAAAACATCTAAAGAAAAACTCTTTCAAAGGCAACATTGCTGAACATTCTTGCTGCAGATAACCAATTATATGTTGTTGCAGTGATATTCCTTGGCATCTCGTCTTTTCACATCATCCATATTATAGCTGCAAGGATTGTCTTCCAAAATTTCTTCCCCTTCATAGGCAAACTGCAAATATGCCATCCTTCTAGTTCCTCCTTGCTTGCCTTGGGAAGGTCCTGCTTACATTCATGGATTTCGGAAAGAAGAACCAAATCTTCGCAGTGCTTTGACAGTGAATGAATAAGCTGAATAGTCAATCAGTTCGAGTGTTTCATTTGCACATTTTCAAAATGATTTCAGATTTATCTTATTAATATTTTCCTTTACATTATCCATGCATGTAAAGTTGGTGTGAAGCCCATGTTGACACCTTAAATATTTGGCTGTAAACTTCATGCTTAAGGTGCACCCTTTTAACTGATGGTGTTGTATGCCTATTCTAAGATGAACTTAAATATCATACAATATGCCAAAGGTTAAGGCCATATTCAGTCTACCCCTCCCAATAGGTCAATACCCCAGTTATCTGGGACCAACATTAGGTAATGACCTTTCTCTTTTTTTTTTTTCCCTCTCCAAGGAATATCATCCTAGTTCTTATTTCTTGTTCATAGCTTAGCTACTAGGAGTTGGGAAGTTGGTGAATATTTTTTAGTTGGGTTACCATTCTCTTGCATAGCATGGTGGATATCTTGATCCTACAGAAAGATAATTTCTGATTAAACAATTTATGAAGAGAAGAACCTCAGAAAGATTACTGATGATGAGGTATCATGCCACCAATATCTTTTATTAAACTGTTTTACAGGGTGAAATTCATCATGTTATAAACCCAGATCCATATCATGGGGTCTTTGGCTCTGATGCCAGTAGGTATGCCAAGGATGTTCAAGATCACATCAACTATGGTACTTCTGGAAAAGTTGCTGGCTTTATTGCAGAAACTATTCAGGTTGGACCAGAAGTTATATGTTTTGGTCTAGTGTCTGTTCTTTCCTTGTATTACCAAATTATTATTTCATTATTCTACAGTAATAGAAGTTTCTTGTCTTTACAAATTCTAGGGAGTAGGAGGAGCAGTTGAGTTGGCCCCAGGATACTTGAAATTGGTGTATGACATTGTACGTAAGGCTGGTGGTGTTTGCATAGCTGATGAAGTGCAAACTGGATTTGGTCGAACAGGAAGTCATTACTGGGGTTTTGAAACACAAGGTGTCATTCCTGACATAGTTACCATGGCAAAGGTCTCTCCTATTGTCACTTAGAATTTTGTAGCTTAGTCTTGCCAAATTGACGTTTTTTTTTTTTTGTACTTTTCATGTTAAATTTACTCTAATGAATTTAACAGGGTATTGGAAATGGATTACCATTAGGTGCAGTGGTAACAACACCAGAAATAGCAAATGTGATGGCCCAGAAAGTTCAGTTCAATACCTTTGGTGGAAACCCTGTATGTTCTGCTGGTGGACTTGCAGTGCTTAGGGTTCTTGACAAGGAGAAGCGTCAAGCACATTGTGCTGATGTTGGTTCTCACTTAATAGAGCGTTTGAGAGCTCTTCAGCAGAAACATGAAAGTAAACACCCTGCAACCTTGATATTTCCATATACATTTCTTAGGTCTTTATATTTTCATTGATAAGCTTTGTGCTCTTACTTTCTGAGTCATGCAACTGCATTTACAAGTAATTATTGGGCTTTTGGACATACAAATCATGATTGAAAATATTAATGCCAATGGACAGACCAAATGCAAATCATGAATGAAAATTTAAGCTTTGTAATTTTATTTTTAGATGCACCCATGAAAGTGTGTGTCTTAATTGCGTCTGTGGTGCATTGCATAGTCCAATTTAGTCTTGCTCACTGATTTTTCATCCAGAGAAATCATTTTATGCCAGAGAACTATTAAGGAAAGGAATAGACAGATTTTTGACAATCTTTCCAATGACATAGTTTCAGTCCAGAACAAATTTATAGGTTTTCAGTGTTCCTGGTTAAGTGTACGAAGAGCTTTCATTGGAATTCAGCTTTTTCCTTTTTTGCAAGCTGGACCTTTCTTTATCTGATTTCTCAGATCTTTTTGTAAATTCCCAATGTACAGGTTCTCATTGTACATGGGCTGTTGTGGTTGATTTTCTTTTGCAATACAATACATTACCTTCTTCAAAAAAAAATAAATAAATAAATAAACTATTAAGGGTTTTCTGTTGGTCTTGGGATTTGATATGTGAACTTGTGAAGAACCTATAGGCAAGGTCTGAACCAGCTTGAACATCTGCAGGATATGAAACCATTCTAAGGACATATTTTTAATAGATGGTAAAATTGGTGTCTCTTGAGGTACAAGCTGTTAGTCTAAGATTTTATCATGTGTAGACATGTTGGTTATCTCCAAATCATTTCTTGAACTTTCTATACACCTAACTTGGCAAGTTAGGCATTTCCTTGGGTTTTGTGGATCTTGTCCAGGGTATCAAGGGGGCTTTGATAAATGACCAATCCTCTGGATTTGATGAAGGGTTTATTATAAGATGTTTACTGTTTTTGATCCTTCAAATACCAATTGATGTAGACAAACCATAAGTACTAGTTTGCAGGATTGCTTGGTTTGACTTGTTTTGTGGTTCCTGATTTGAATCCTAGAATGAACACAGTTTTTTGGGTTTAGTCTTCTGTAATTTATCTTTTAATTTATATAAGTTGGCAGTTTGTGGTATGTTTGGGTTGCTAGAATGTCATATGCATTATGTGGATGATATGTACAATAATTATATTTTATGGAACCAATGTTTATGGGTATATAAGTTGCCCCAGAAAGAATATTTGCACATAATAGGAATCTTAATTGAAGTAGGATTTATACTTAAGATATTTTTTGTGAAGTTTTGGCCTTAAAAGTTGTCAAATTTATTTGTTTTTTTAATTTTATTATCACTAAAGGACGCAAAAATTTGTTAGGGATTTACTTTGTGTCTTTTCTTTTATTTTTTAAAGATTGTGCTTTTCGATGAACCAATATAGACAAACTTGAAGTGTGAAAATCAAATGAATTCACAAAGCAGAGAAAGGTCATAGAAATTTAGGTAAATATATGGGGGACTTTCCTGGTAATGAAATTCGAGTTTGAACTTTGAAGCAAGGATCAAAATTTTGTCACATATCGAAGCCTTCCTGATACGCCCCTACAGGGGGTAGACCGGCCTTAAACCGGCCCCTCTTAACCAGTTTCAAAAAAAATTAAAAAAAAACATAAAAACAGTACCGATACAGGCTGATACGCCCTACCGGCATATCGCCCTGTATCGATATTTTGAGCCTTGCTTTGAAGTTTTTCACTTGTTGGAATATGATGCCCAATTTGCATATTATGAGGTTGTCTTTGTTCTGCATAATTTAAGACAAAACGTTATTATTGACCTTGGGTTGGGATATGTATTTTATTGAGCATGCATATGAACTGAGATATGCAAAGGGAAATTTAATATAAGTTGAGGTGCACAAATATGATACAAGGTGCATTTTTCTTCGTTTACATCAACATAGCACCGCTGAGCCCACATTTGCAGCGTCACGTCAATGATTCTCACAGTACTATGTTTTATTGTCATATAAAGTACTTCTATGGGCATACATTGTTATACCCAGATTACCAGTACTCATTTTCTCATTACTACATCCAACTCAATTGAGAGGTTATCACTCCTTTTTCCAAAAAAAAAAAAAAACAAAGTTGATAATCTTCATGATTGGCTATATGCATTCTTTATAGATGAATAACATTGTTATTAAAATCAATTTCTTATGTTGATGATAATGGATAATGTAAGGATATGTGGTTTATTATGTAATATAGAGGATCCCTAGTGAATTCATCTCATGTCAATGTAATGTTGATTTCAGTCATTGGAGATGTGAGAGGCAGGGGCTTAATGGTGGGGATAGAACTTGTCACTGATAGGAAGGAAAAGATGCCTGCAAAAGCAGAAACAGCAGCTCTGTTTGAGAAACTAAGAGGTAGATAATATTAATTCTATTTTTATGCAGAATGTGTTGTTCTCTATAATATCTCCTTAGTATTTTTATGGTTTGTACTTCTCAAGAGCTGGGAGTGCTAGTTGGGAAGGGAGGACTACATGGAAATGTTTTCAGAATAAAACCGCCAATGTGTTTCACAAAAGATGATGCAGGTACTCTCTCTCTCTCTCTCTCTGTATCTGTGTGTGCGCACCTGCACACACGTCTGTCTATGTTTCTGTTTTATCTGATACCTTATAATTATCTTCACTCTGTTTTTATATGATTTGTTTCTTTAATGCAGATTTCCTTGTGGATGCATTGGACTATTCCATATCAAAGTTGTGAAGAATCAAAGTTGGTGTACCAAGAGAGCTGTAGATGTTTTTTTTAGCCTACAAACTCTGTGACATTAGATCCAACATTCCCATAAATAAGTAGATCTCTTGGCACTTGATTTCAATTCTAGAACTATTTCTTCTCTCTTCTTCTTCCTAAATGGATCCTGTGAAGTTTAGGGGATGGATTTAGGAATTCCATCTACTACTAGTGATAAATCCTAAACCCTTACCGTTCAAAAAATCTGAATTATTGGCCTTTCACATTTTAATAGCTCAGGAGCCAGGCTGAAAGTTTCAACCTGTTTTGCCACCTCTATCATGTCACAATATAAATGTAGTAGCCATGGACCCTTTTCATTAGGAAAAGTCAAAGAATAAAATACCATGCCAATGGGAGTCATTCTCAGGAGAGCTCATGTAGCCAATCCAAAAGGATTTTCTACAGGGCAATTGGGTTTATGTGTTTGAATCTAAATGGCATAAAACATGATAGGCTTTTCATTTAATACTTATCATGTAATCTCATACATGAAATGTCCGCCCATTGGATGACTGATGGCTCGATCCATTTGCTTACTTGAGCTGGAGGCTGTCAGATGAATCCAACATGTTACAAGTTACAACCAGATGTGAGAAGAGCATTTGTTCAAATCTAGACTTGAGAGTCATGTTGGATTGGGTTGATTAATGGCATTAGAGGTGTAGAATTGCTTGCGCAAATCTTAATTTTAGCCTTTGCATTTTATTGGATGCCACAGATGTCGTAGAATATATTTATAATTAATTCCACTACAACTTAGATTAATCTATCTATTTAATTTGCATAGTTCCTATTTATTCATTCACAACAATAATAACAACAACAACAACAAACTAAATAATTTTTTCTTTCTAGTTTTTTCAACGTCACCTATTTAGAGATACACCTATATTTTTCTACAACTTTCTCTATTTTTTGCAGTTTTTGAATTTCCATTTAGTTTTAAATTTTTATTATTTATTTATGACATTAGCTCATTTGACCTGAATAAAAAAATGACTTCATTTCTATGTTAGTTTTAAATTTTCTATTCCATTTTCATTATCAATAAAAATAATTATTGTTTATGACATTTATTTGTGTTTAATATGGTGAATATATAATATTATAGATGTGCCCATATTTTTTTATAAACTTTCTGTAATATTTTGTATTTCTACCATTTTTCAAATTTTATTATTTAACTATGATATTATGGGTTAACCCATTTGAATTAGATGGTTGAACTGTTATTATTCTTATTTATTACACTTATTTTCTTTAGTACGATGAATCTATAATATTAGACATGACCAATTTTTTTTTCTACAAATTTTTGTATCTTTGATGTTTTATCTATTTTTCATATTTTACTATTTATTTATGATGTCATGGCTTGACCTATTTACTTTGTTGGTAAAACTGCTAACCTGCCGTATATATATATATATATCCTTTCTAGTTGGTTCAAATTTTGTGTTCCATTTTCATTAATCAAAATAAGGGTAAAATATAAAAACCTCACTTGGCCTTTCTAGAAATCCTATAAACCTCCATTGTATTTTGACCCTAACAAAAACTTCCCTTGATACTTTGAAAAAGGATTCAAATACCTCCCTTTCAGTAGTATTCCACCAAAAACAAGGACCTTGAAATTATCGAAATACCCACTTCACTCTCTTCCAGCGAGGCTGAATCAGCTACAAAGATAGAGCAGACTTAGGTAGGCAATAGAATATAACAAAAATAAATAAATAAAAGAAAGTAGTAGAAAATCTAAACACCTTACAGAACAAACAAGCAAGCAGAGTTGGGTAATCAATAGAATAGAACAAATGAGTAAATAAATAAAAGAAAATAGTAAGAAACTAAAACACCTTACACTCACAAAAGAATGCATTCTAGAATGAAAGTGGAATTTGAAGATAAAGAAAAATGTATCCTAGAAAGTAATGTTATCATAGAGAAACCTAAAACAGCTAGCAAGTTGCAAAGAGAGGAAAAACACAATATGATGTTTGAAAAAGGAGCCGTTAAATTCAACATATTTGAGGCAAGCAGTCAAAATGAACCGGTAATGAAATTCGCTTCATTGCTAACAAGACCATGCTCACATCGTTTGTACAGAATATCTCCTCGTAAAAGAAAGCATATAATGATATAAGTATAGAGAAATTCCCAATGCAAGGCTATAAAGATTGCGAACAGTGTGAGTACAGTTTTGTGAGCACTGAAGCCGATCTCACCTAACAAAGCATAATTCATAGAATGCAAAATCTCCATGGTTTCGACTCGTAGGATTGAAAACAAAATCCGAAAACGAAGAACCATTGATGTATAGCATAAAAGAAATGATTTTTTTTGCTATTGAGTCGGATTATTTCAATTTTCAAAGGAGAGACAAATTTCCAGAACGTTTTTTGAAAAAATAACAAATAAAACGCATGCAATGTTTCACTGGACTCGTGTGAGAAGAAGCAAGAAAAGTTGAGAGAGAAGTCAAAGAAAATGTTCTTCGTAATTTACACAGAGAGAGAAAGAGACTTTGAGCGCAATGAAGCAAAGAAATTGCATAGCTTCGTTTTGGTGGAATTGCGTCGGAAATGTGGGGTAATGCAAATGAAAATAGTTGCAAGCAAGTTTCTAAATATCCACAGAGGGCGATGTGCTCTGGCTCTGAATATATTTTAAGAATGAAGATGATCTGTTATGGATGCTTTGCCGACCATGGTCAGTCAAGTACTACCCCCGCTTCATTTTGCATGCGGAGATGGGAACTGACGTCCATTGTCACTAGGAATCTGGTATTAAACCCGTTGAAAGGCATGTGAGAAAGCTAGATTTTAGGTAGTGAAAAGTTGCCAATCACTTGTTATCGCTGTGGAGCTCCGGGGGTTACGGGGATAATCTGTATCAATGATGATGAATACATTGACGCCATAACCATAGTTTGGCTATCCAAATGGTAGGTGAAGAAGGTGGTCGAGCTCATTTCAGCCCAACGTTTTGGAACCACCGTTGACCCAGACGGTCGGACTGTTCGGCCTGGGAACTGTTCAGGCAATCGGTTCCGTTTTACCCTAAATATGAAATCTGGTCAAAAACCATTGAAAGAGTCAACAAACCGTTGATCCAGGTGGTTGAACCGTTGATCCATTCAACGGTTTTTGATCGTTTTTCTATTTTTTTAATTATTTTTAATTTTATTATTAGAATGGGCCGTTCGTCTAAACTGGATAGTCGGATCGTCGACCTGAAAACCAGTGGTCAAAACAGTTCCATTTCAGAATCATTTTGTAAAACATTGTTTCAGCCAATGGATTCTCTAACTAGCTTCTCAAAAGAACCGTTCCACGTGTAAGCTTTTAGCTGTTAGTGAGGTCCTTAATAAGTTTTTATTTTCTAACACGCCACCTCACCTGAACGCCCATAAGGCTTCAAGCGTAAACAATCATAAGCTCATCCTTTCCTTACATTGAATTTATGGGATAAGACTCTAATACCATTTCAAAGAATCATTCAGCCTAAAAACATAAGCTTAAGCTTGTTTTTATTGTATTCCCTCAGATGATGTAGATTTAAATTCATTAATCAATAACCACCAGAAAGGAATGGAGAGAATGAGAGAGAGATATGTGGAACCATGTAGACACTAATCTTAAGTCCAATAGTTCTATGGTTAAGAAAGATCAGCAGAAAATACCCACCAAACGATGACCTTTTTTGTTGGTGAACCCAGTGGGAAAAAGGGATGATAGGAACTCGGAGTGGCCACTGATTGAAGAACGCTACTAACATCTCTTGGTATCGCAGGTGAGACTGACGCCATGTTTGGAACCAATAATGCCGTATCGATGTGCCTTTTTTTCATCAAAGGCCTTTTTATTTATTTATTTATTTTTGCAGAGAAACATTACCTGGGACCCTGGTCGCAGAATAAACCAATGACCCCTCAGTGAAATATGAGCACGTCAGTGGCGTAATGTGTTGAATTGATATGGTAAGTAGAGAGTTGAATATATGGAGCCATGTTTTATCCTTGATTTGTTGTGGAACTCTGGTTCAGTTCCCAAGTGAAAATATGTGGAAGTGGATATTGCCTATGCTCCATTTATTGAAAGATTTCGTCCATTCATACTAGAAGTAAAGAAACATGATATCACAACAGCCTAAACTGGCAGCTTGGATTGGGGTAATGGAATTAATTGTCCCATTTGCTTTCTTTTTCTTTTTTGAAAGCCCAAACAGTTCCTGATTAGAGCTACACAGTAACCATCTATTTTATTCAGAGTTACATTTCTTGTTAATGTATTGAGCCTGTAGCCTAAACATTCCCTTCTCAGCATGCCTTTCTTCTGATTAAGGCACTCTATCTTAAACCAATTAACTCCTTCGGTCCTTCCATTTGCTGTCAATGACCTTCATTTTAATTATGTACATCTTATTTTTGGCAAAGCTATTTTGTAAAACATATTAGCTAATTACGTTACGGATATAGAGGCACCATCCAAGTATCTTGCAAACAAATTAACTAAAAAAAGATGATCCAAAATAAAAGTAACAGGATGAAAATGCCAATACCCCTATTATTGTATTATAGCTTATTTTGCAATTGGGATCTGCTCTATACACAGCGTGCCTCACACTGACCTTACAGATACATCCCACTTTGCATTGGAAACATTTCTTATAAATAATAATACTTAAATATGGAAGACATTTCCAATATACGATGAAATTGGTGTAAGGCGCACCGTGTGAGAAGCAGATCTGGTAATTTTACTTGAAGGAGATCCCATTGCAGTTGGGTCTTTCACTCTCTTGTCACATGTAGTATAAGTGTAGGTGTTGAGAGAGAGAGAGAGCGAGCTGACATGAGAGGAAGTGTAATAATGTAGCACCATAGATAAACTGATGTCCCAGTCATTTTGAAATCAAAGCTGAAATAAAATAAAATTATAAAACTGGAGTGAGCAATCCAATGAAGGTTAAACACTTATAAAACTGGCCAACATCCTATGGTCCAATGCCTTCCCAGTCATTTAGGTTATTTATTTATTTATTCATTTATTATTATTATTATTATTATTATTATTATTATTA